AACCAAAAGCTACTGACTTTTCCCACGATCTAATACAGTAGCTGTTACTCTCAACAGCTTCTTTACTACGAAGCCATGACAACAAATTTTAATTTTTTAATTTAAGTCATAACTGTAACAATTATTTTGGACTATGAAATTAATAACAATAAATTGTGGAACTGTAACTCCCTTTTTTCAAAATATTATACTGAAGTTTATTTTTTACCCGACAGACGTCGCCCTGTCCTAATGTGGTTTTATGTCAAATGCTCGTTCATTTTTAAGATGAGCTCGTTCGCATGGCTCAATCTCGTCCTGGTTGAAGTTCGTTCGCTACGCTCACTCACCTTGTGGTTGCAAATTAGCTGTTCATAATAATAATGCATAAATTTAAAAAAATAACAGTGCTGCACCCTGTTGGTAAACCTATTAGATTTTTAATGCTATTTGACATCACAGAATCAAATTGTTTAGTTCAACCAGCTGTGAAGATTCTTTAATTCCATTTATATGAGTACAAATAAGGTTAACATGGGAAACTCCAGAGCACCTGGGGCGGAGCCCTTTTGACGGATCTGCACCAAACTTCACACAAACCATCCTTGAATAATGCTTAATAATGCCTGAAAGTTTTCATTACAATCTGTCGAGTGGTTTCGGAGTCCATAAAGGAAAAACAAACAAACAAACATAACATATATTGGATTTTATATATATAGACTATATCAAAATTCCTGAATTTAAAATGTATTGTGTGATGCGCTGAATTGAACAAGAGATTAAGTTAAACAGTCTTGCTTACCTGGAGTATTATTTTATGGTATGTAATTGAGAAAGAAAGGGGTTAGTTTGTAAAAAATTTCATCCAAATGTTCTTGATGAAATAAATTTTAAAATAAATTGGAAAGATGATTTTTTAATAATGGTTGTATTCATAATAATTGCCAAAAGCAGGTCAAATCTTTGAATAGACATTCCATCCCCATGTTAAAGTTGTTACCAGTTTTTTAATCAAATTTGTCTTAGTTGATGTGAGCCTCCTACAGATTGCGCTGATATAAATTACTAATTTCTGCCGATTACAAGATTGTTTTTACCAAGCCAAACTGATGGAATGACTTATTATGAGCTAACTGTTATGTCTCAGCAACTATGCCAGTAAGAAAAAATAAGGTACAAAATAGAGTTTTAGTCACTAGAGCAATCTGTGACTGGCTCACACAACTACATTCGGTTTTAGTAAAAAATTGGCAACAGCTGATCCATATAGATGGGATGTCTTCTTCTGTTCCCAATATTCAATGGTCAAATATTGATCCATTGTCAAAACAATTCTTTTTTTCACTGGAGTTTCCTATAAACTAGATAGATCAACTACAAATACTCGTAAATACTGAATCTTAAATTAGTTAGTTTGATTTGAATCAAATAAGTAGTTTATTGTCAATTTAAAAAAATATATATATCCATGGTAAAATTGATTACAAATTATTAAATCTTTGGCTGGTGATTTTGCTAATAATATTTCTTTACTAAGCAGGTTTTTTCTACTAAGTATTTTTTTTACCAAGCTTATTACCATGAGTAGTTGAGGGGTTACAGTTCTCCTATTAAACAAAAGGTTGCTGGTTTGAAACTGAAAAGTCAGTGTACGTTTTTGATGGTAAAAAACAGGACTCAGCTGACTGATCATTTGGCATTTAAGAATTGGTCTTAGATATGAAAGAATTGAATTGAATCAAATTAACTGCATCATCCACACTTAACATTTCATTTAATGGGCAAGTTTTGTATAAAAAAAGTCAGGTGCATTAGATCTGTGGACTGTGGTGATCTATAGACTGAGATGGTGGTGTCGTCCTGTAATCCAGCTACTAGGAGGTCACGAATTGTGGATATTTATAGGCATACACTGTGGATGTGATACTCCCTGGAGTGGATTAACGTCTGCACTAGTGAGTACTATGACTATCCGCAGTACTATCCTGATAATTAGACCAATTTGTTAATTACAAGGCAAAAATGTGGTTCGGATTCCACTGTAAACTGTAGGTCCCTTAGTTGCCATTATATTATTACTAGCTGTACCCGCGGGCTTTGCCCCGTTTAACTTCATATGTGAGCTCGTTCGCATGGCTCAATCACGTCCTGGTTGAAGTTCGTTCGCTACGCTCACTCACCTTTGGGTTGGGGCTCGTTCGCTGCGCTCACACGTCCTGGTTGAAGTTCGTTCGCTACGCTCACTCACCTTTACGGTTGGAGCTCGTTCGCTGCGCTCACTTGCCTTCAAGTTAGCTCGTTCACTACGCTAACTCGCCTCCGGGTTGAAGTTCGTTCGCTACGCTCACTCACCTTTTGGTTGCAAATTAGCTGTTGTCATAAATTAAAAAAAATAATAGTGCTGCACTCTGTTGGTAACCCTTGTAACTTTAATGCTATTGAACATCACAGAACAGAACCAACTTGTTTAATTGAAACAGCTGTTATGATTCATTAATTCCATTTAAATATGAGTACTCATTAGGTTAACATGGGAAACTCCAGAGCCACTGGGGCGGAGCCGCTGTATGGGCTATTAATTAACAGCTGTGTCTAAGGAACATTTTGGCCTTAGTCACTAACAACAGTACAAGATCGCGCCAAAAAATAAATAAAATATGTACGTAGTTGAGTCGCCATCTAAAATAATTGATCATTTATAATAGTAAAACTACTTAGGTTGGTTATCTGCCAGCCACCATCTTGTATAATGGAAACTAACACTATCTTAATTAAGTCAATATAAATTAGAAAATGTAAACATATATATATGGTAAAATTATAAATTAAATGTTTTGCTGGTGAATTTTAGTGGTTAGGAAAATGATTTTGCGATAAAATAATGAGTGGTACTTTTTATAGTGAATTTACTCAATGTTGAAACATATTACTACTGTGAATTAACTCACTTTTTTGTAATGAAACCACTCACTGTGTTTTGTTTTACAATACAAAACGGACATGTCATTTCTACCTAGTGGACCATTCCCCACCAGTTTAATAATTTAACAAACATTTTCTCAGATTTTCCTTTGACATTGTTGCGAGTGTGGTTTGTCTTTGGGTTGACAATAATTTTACAGTCTGTTAAATGTAATTCTGGAAAACAGTTTAAGCCCAGCATTTCAATATTTAAAATTTTGTTGTGTAGCATTTCACTTGACCACTTGATCTGCAAATTAAATTATTTAATAACATTTTAAAAATTAAGTAAACGCTTAGGACAAAAACAGTACATTTTAGCGAATTTACCATATAGAAAATGAACTATTAATGTAGGTCTCATATGGTAAGGATTTTTATATGAGCCGAAACAACGTAAAACTTAGCTAGTTTGCTAAAAACATATTTCCCTTAGCTGAGTGAGTTCATTGCGTAAAACTACACAGATCATATTTAGGACAAAATCTTGACTCTTTGACTTTAAATGCTTTCAATTTCTCAATGTTCTTGCTTACCTAGCAATGTGTTTTTGTTTTTACTTGTTCAATAAGGTAATGAATGTAAAATACTTATTTTAATCATTTTGTAAAATTAAAAATATGCCTACTAGCTGTAGAAACGATCTAAACAGATTTATATTTTTTCATGGTCTACTAATATAAGATGCTATTTTGGTCTAAACTTTTTTGTCAATAATAGTATAAAAATGTTACAAAGTTATTAAAATGAAAAAGGTTACTAATAGTAAAATATACTATCCTACATGATGTAGCCGATATATTGATGGAGAGGGACACAAGGGTTGGTCAAACACACGTCTTCTCACTAACCTTTTCTTTAAGATAAACCTGAAGGGTGAGTTGGAATGTTGACCATCCATTTTACTTTCAAGCACCTTTGGCTATTGATCGAACTTCATATTACATCCCCATGTTAAAGTTTTTGCAAACGATTTAGATATTTAGATTTTTGGTTTGAGTCACTGACTGCGTATTCTCATTTAAATAACTGATTTCTATCAAGTAACTAAGTTAAACTGATAGGACGACTTATTGCAAGTTACACCATTTTAATGTCACGTTATTATTTTATACTGAAGTGTACTCTGTTAGGGAGTAATTCAACGATGTTCTTTTTTAATGAAAAATTGTCTACACCTATTGGTGTGAAGTCTACTTCAGAATACAGTACAAAAAGTCAATGCTTGCGCCTAAAGTCAGAAAACCTTTTTATTCACCAAGAATGGTATATTTTAGCATTATAACCATTGACTATATATACCTACAGGTTTATAGTACTGTAGATATATAGTCATAGAGGTTTTGACTTTATACCTACTATAGTAAATGACTACAGCTAGGTAGGTAGTCATTTATTACCTGTAGGATTATAGTCAATGATTATAACTCATTTTTTAGCTCTGGTCAAAAAGAAACTTCTTATCCGTGTGATGAACGATATATTTTGTCATATTGCAAAGTGTTTATCAAGAAAACAAGTTAGAAAACAAAAATACTTTTCATGTAAAAATAACCTCAAAACGACTTCCAACTTGTTTTCAATTTTTCTAATGCAAATAAGCAGCTCTGATTAAGTGATTCAATCATTTTGTCAATTACTATTGTGTTAGTACACATTACACTATCGATATGTCGAATCAAATTATTATTGAGAAGAATGCAACAACAGGCTACAACCTACAACCGATTAAATCAATTGAGAGATAATTTTAATAGATAGGATTGCTTACAATCAAAGTGTACAACAGCTGATTTTTACTCGATCTTGTCACTGATTCTCAAATCTACAATATTAAATATCCATTAAATTTGTTTATAATCCATTTATTTATTTTTTTTTATCCATTATATTTTGTTGTTATGACTACACCACCACCACCCAAAAAATTACAACTTGAATCACAAGTTAACAAAATAAAATGGATTGATGCATTTTCAGCCTCGTGATTTGTATTTTTACGAGAACACCCGGTGTGAGTTTACGAAGTGTAGGATACATGTAAATACTCACACAAGTAGACAGCCTTGCTAACGAGGGGGTTGTGTTGACTGTGCGGTTTGCTATGTACTCTGAAGACCTTCCTTTGTGTGGTTACGTCTCGGAACCGTAAATATTTTATAAGCAGCTCTGCTGACTGCTTAACAAATTAAGTTGCCTCATTGCTTCACCATCCTCTTGCAGAACTGTAACAACAGTTAAACTACTTTTTTTGTCTTCAAATGTAATTTATGTATAAAACAACAGGCAAATTATACATTTTTAGATAAAAGCACAGCAATTATCATCTGAAATAATATCAAATACAGTAGTCTCCCTCTTATCCGGACTCCTCGGGACTGAGGCCAGTCCGGATAACGTGTTTTCCGGTTAAACCTGTTAGAGAAGTAATATTTCTCATCTTGTCTTCACATCATCACCTGATCAAATATTAATTGTCTTGTTTATCTTTTTGTATGTTTTGGTTTAGTGTAATTGTTAAAAAGATGTATTTATAATTTGTTCAGTATAAAAACGTTTTCCATAATATTTCTGGGCTATTTATTACATTAACCATTAAAACCGACGTCCCCAAAAACTCGTTAAAACGGACCATTTACTGTGATATTCGACTTAAATTTAGGAGAGCATTGTATTTAGAAACGTGATCACTGGTTTCAAATCTTTCCCACGAGAACAGTCGTTTCAAGACCGCCCACTTCCTTCCTATATAGTCCGGTTTAACCAATGTGTTGATAAAAACTGTCTGGTTAAAGAGATGTCATTTCCGCCGATTGTAGTCCGGTTAAACCAATGTCCGGTTAGAAGGTGTCCAGATAAGAGGGAGTCTACTGTAAAGACATAACCAAATCAGCTGCTTTATAAATAGAACATCAGCAACCAGCTGCGATTTAACCAACACACAGTTCAACTCTTAGCAGAATATTGGATAAAACTATCAAAATGGGAAAGTAACTATCAAAGTGGGTTCCGGGTCTAGGTCTTACCATGAGACCTACGTTAATAGCTACTTCCCTATAGGGAAATTCGCTTAAAGAACAATTATTGTAAGCCTATATTTTCTTTTATATTTTAATATTACAGTTTTGTCATTGATTCTATTTTATCACCCTAAACTTAATTCTAAAGATAAAATCACAAACAAAGATTGATGATAAGTAGACTAAAATTCCAATAGCAGTGAGTGTTTACAAACGAAAATATAACCTCTAAGAGAAGTTATGAGCAGTGCTTGTTAAGTCCTTTAGTAGGTTGGAACATATAATGGACTCTGACAATTCCTTTCATTTTTAGGTTGGGTAGGGTAGCAATGGCGAAAATATCATACGTCACTCGTCCACAGTGTATTAACACCCTTATGCTATACTATAATGAATGCTGCAATTGCTACTTTTAGATGAAATTCAAATTATATAAACAACGTTAGTTTCTTATAGCAATGGTTTTATGTAAGTTACCCAAGTTACTAGATTTATGAACGCCAAATCATTACTAAACACAAAAATAAATCTGGATGAAATTCAAAAAAAGGTCTCTCTGATGATGTCATTTTTTGGAACAATTCTCATTCATGTTTATAAATGTTGGAACGACTGAGAATATTCATGATAACCAAAGCAACCCTTTAAGCCACAGCAATTAACTTTCACATCAAGTCATCTTTTCACTAGACTGTTGGGGGTTGAAAGAAGCTCTTTATGAATAGGAAATAATTGGGTTAATAATTCCCCAGGGTTATGTTTAGAGTTTGAGTTTACTTCTGGTGTTTTTTGTTTTGTTTTTTTACTAAACATTGATTTGTTTAAGGAAGTTGTGTATAAATTTGAGGAAAATTAAAAACAACACATTTAATCAATTCATGATTATGTCTTACATTTTATCAATTCTTATGAGACGATTATAGTATCATGGTCTCTACTCTAGATATAGTTAGGAGTGTTTGATATTTTGAACTGATAGTTTGACAATTTTATTTTTTTAACTAAATATATATTCAATTAAGTTAAAAACATATATTTTTGCTACACTACTGTGAAATCACCTGTTTTTGTTTTATGATTATCACTTGCGAAAATTCATCATTACATTTTACTACCTCCACACTTAACACCTAGTAATCAGTATTTATCCAGGATTATCATTGGATGTACTAATACTGATTGTGCTGTAGAATTAAACTCTGTTTCAAATTGAGATATCAGAATTTCAGGAATTTCATCTTTAATGGCTGAATTTCATATCTCAACAACTCCCTTTTCCTCATTCAAGTTACGCCAATTATGTTTTCTGACCTTATTACATGCAACGTAATTTGTACAGATTTACTCCATATTTGTAATCATTTTGTTTACGTTGTTTCATTCTACAACCTGTGAATTAATTCCAACTTTTATAGCAAACCTAGCTTAAATAGAAACTAGATTTAAACTCAAAAGGAAGAAATATGATAAGAGTTTAGTATCGATCATGGTGTATCCATTAGTTGTTTCTTGGTATCTACATTAATATTAGTAACATTTATTTGTTAAATTTTTATGGATGCATTATAAAGCCATTCTCTACTCAAAGAACAATGACTTAGCAATAAACCCCACAAAAACTACAACTCTGAATTTCAGTAAGGAAAAGGACATAGTCCCTCAATTAGAGGATGTAACAATAGAAAACCACACAAAATTTCTCGGTGTTATCCTTGATAACAAACTAACATGGAAAGAGCACATCAACCACCTAAGCTAAAAAATAAGTGCCGGAATATATGTCGTCAGAAGAATAAACTACATAGGTGGATTCTCTGTGGGCAAAAACAGCTTACTTCGCACTGGTAGAGTCGCATCTTAGATATGGCTCGACAGTGTGGAGTGGAACTTCAACAAAAAATATGAGTCAAATCCTTGTTCTTCAAAAGAAAGCCACAAGAGCCCTCGCCAACCTTGTCCCACCACAGACTTGCAGACTAGCATTTGCAAACCTAGGAATCCTCACAGAGGTGTCTCTCTACATACTTGAAACCATAAAGTATGTGGATGAAATAAACCCCCCAAGAAACCAAGACCTGCACCACTACAACACCGGTCATGGCTCCAAATTTGCCCTACCAGTTCACCGAACCACTCCTGGAGAAAAAACCTTCCTACACTGGCTGCAAACTGAGGAACCATCTACCTGACTACCTGAGAGACCTGACTGGCAACAAGCTACACCATGAGTTAAAGAAGTGGCTAATAGCAATACCCTTCTACTCAATAAAGGAATTTTATGAAAATTATGGAAATTAACATGTACAATTCACTATCGTATTGACACTATTGTAATTCTTAACAAATGAACAATAAAGAATACTAGGTGAATCCCGTCGAAATTGACGGTTACTTTCAATGCTTACATTAATTCATCTAACTGCGATAAATTGGGTGAAATATACATATTTTGAGCATTTAGCATTGTTTAAAGAGTAATAAGTGTAAAACAATAATGATATTAATTAATTGTGTTAGTTGCCAAAATTGGTTGATCATTCAATGAAAATATTCCCCATACAGTACATCATCGGAGTTATTATTAGTATGTTATATGGCATCTCTTCCTATGGAAGAACCTTTAAATAGTATTAAAATCGTATTGGTGGATCTTTTGTAGTTAAATACTTTCGTGATTTCATCAGTGTAATATGATTTTATTTGAAAAGAAAATATTTTTTCGTAAGACATATTCTAATTTCAAAGGGGGGAAGTATATCCGTTACAGTGTAAGTTTGATTTTTCCTTCGTCACGTCGCGTCAGTTCATATCGTACTTCTGTGCCAATGAATAACCCTCGAGCACAGTGTTGAGAAACTGTTAAAGCTGGAATTCCTTGACATGGGGGGTGTCAGTTAGTTGTGTCAGCCTTATCAATAACATAAAGTTGTCAATATAATCTCTCTACGGAATGTTAGGTGTAGTGGAATACTTGAAGTGAAGTTGGCATTTATTCTTGAACTGTTAGGGGCCTCCTAGTTCATATGGTCTTGCGGCTTCATTGGCAACAAATAATGCAAATGACATAGCAATGGGACATTTCCAAAAAGCAAAAATACTGTAAATTGGCTGTTACATATATATTGAGGTTTACATATTGACATAATCAACGTATCTTATAAAGGATTATGTGATCTAGTTTAAAAAGAATATGATCTTTCTGTCATGACAGTAGCTGCTTAAATAGTATTTTCTTTTTGTACCATATTTTACAGCCAAAATGTTATTTTAAATAATGTTACCAACCCAGTGCGCCAAAGTCCGTAATATAGGCAGGTGCAAATAATTTGTCAAGATGGGTACCATTTAAGGCAAGGTTTCTATGTTTGGATTTTATTTAACACGATAAGAGCAGATATTTCTACATAAATATTTGATATGTGTAGAATATGATAAAATGTAGGCAAAAGTGGTGAAAAGGGCAGACACCAACCTGTACAATAGGTATAAGAATAATTTAATAATTTAAGAATTGCTGTTATAAAAGGATTTTCCACTGATTTCGTAATGGAACGTAATATTGCAAAACATAACACAATAAAGAAGAAAATCAATTTTAAAATCAGAAAATAACGTTGCAAATACTTATTTGGTAGAATCATAGACGAATTCAGTAACTCCCAATAAATGTGTGTTGTTTGAAATACAATTTAAAAATGAACAGCTGTTTTATTAAAAAGTAATATTCACATGGGCAAAATGTAAACAACTCTGTGGAGGGATCTTTAAAGCCTTCTGGGGAAGAGTCCTAAGGGATTTTGCTTAGTTTTTCTTTTGGAAACTCATCTACAGACCAAGACCATTCTTTGGACACCTCTACCAAGTTCCTACGCCTACCCGTTCTCTCAAATTAGTGGGGACAAAATTTCCAATTATATATTTAAATTTCCCCATGTTAATCTTATGAGAGAAACTCCAACTTTGATGGCCTGTGGGGCCAAGCCCGAGGAATTTTATTACAGGAATTGGCGAAAGGGGGCGTCTACACAAAAAAATTCTTTATTTTGACACGTCGTTTGTAAAAATCCGTCCATTATTAACGGAGTAGTAGTGTTTCGTAGAAATCGCATTCACATATTATATGTAAGGATTGTGTTGTATTGTATTGCATATATATTGTTGAACCAGTGGAATGAAAATAGTGTTGTGAAATTATTAGGGTTGATACAATGACTTTAACGTTTTACTAATTATATTATATTCAAGTAATTTATGCCACTGTATTGTATAGTATACATTTAGTCAGTACAGTAGAACCTTGATAACAAGACTCTCATGGCCGACTCATGGGGATTGTAAAATAAGACTTGTTATCAAGGTTGACTTCATATCGAGGTTTGCAATAGAATGTGATTAGGGGTAAAATAATTTTAAGGGGATTTCAAAATGACACTTGTTATTAAGGGCGACTTGTAATCGAGGGTCTTCTTATCAAGGTTTCACTGTATAGTGGAAACTGGGATTTTTTCTCAAATAAAAACCTGAGCCTTAGTTAAATTTTTTTCTAACACATCTTTATTCAAAACTATATTTTGGATGAAACTATTCTTTTTAAACCATCCTGTATATTGGTTTTATTATTACTGTTATCTTCTAATAATTATTGTCATCGTAATAATAATATTATTTTAACTATCTACTACCAACCAATTTGTGTATTAACTATTGTTTCAAATACAATAATGTTTAAACATTATTATGACAATGTATGTTCAAATTTAAAAAAATTGTAGCTCTGTAAAGTTCTCCCTAAACGAACAAACAAAATTGTCTGACTTGTTACTTTTCATACAGTTTTTTTTTTTTTTACCTTTTAGTCTAGTGTTTTAAGTTTGTTATTATAGTGTTAAGGTTAAAATGTCAATTCTGACTGTACTCTAAACATTATGGTACTCTCATGAGAGAGGAGTAAAAGTCATCCATTATAATGAACTAATGTTGTTCAGGTATATTAGCATTTTACATTTTTCTATTATTAAGTTAAAGTTCCTCTCAGAAAAAAAAATTTACATTGTTAAGACCCTAAACATTTTTATCTTTCATTAAATAGCAACCAGCAGACAAGTAGAGCAGGATAGATTTACAAATAAACTGCGGTATTTCATATTAAGTTTTTAAGTTTTATCACTGCTATTTTTTGTTTTCACAAAAAAATTTGAAAAATTTAAATGTGCTAAGACAACATTAGCACATTAGCACACCAGTAGAGCGAGAAAGATATGTGTTAAGCAATCAGTTTACATGTTATTATTATCTGTATTATTTTTACTTTTTCAATCAACTTCTGTAAAAAAGTTTTAGCCATTGTTGAGATTCTCTTTTGAATATCATTCTGCACACATGTTTTGGAAATAAATTACTTTTTAAAACTAATTTGTATCCTAATTTGTGTTTGTTTGTTTTTATTTTTAAAACAAACAAGTACTCTGCTATGGTACACTAATACTAACTATTTCCATTTGAGGGAAACTGCACAGCACAAGATTAAGGGTTCCACAGTTTCAATACACTATTAATTACAGCCTCATCCAAAGTATGACTTGGGTTCACTAGATTTACTAACTTGCTTGTGGTATTCCAGCAAGAGTTCCTGGAAGGATTGAGCCAGGCGACACCCACCCTGGACGACCATTCCATGTATTCGTGCTCCGGCTCATTGCCTTCTGACCTGGAAGAGGTAAGTCAGCATCATTTCATTCTTGTTGTAAGTCTCAAGATGAAACCTTAAACTAAAAGGTGGCCTTCCGTGGACAAAATAGACTCTTGAATTTTGGCGTGTGGGAGATAAGCGTGTGATTTTCTCTCGTCCAACGACATCGTGTTCTAAAGACCGAAGTTTGTTATGGTTCACTTGTTTGAATCACAGGTCTTCAATTAGTACTAGTTATGTGTTGAAACACTTTTTGGACCTTAATGATACGCTGCGTTATAAGGGTTTGGCTCAACGTTACGAAATGCACTTGGGAAGGAAGGGGGTATGGCATAGCGTTACGCTGTGTTATTTGGGGGAGGGGAGTTAGGCTCTACGTTATGAAATGCACTTGGGGGGGAGGGGGTATGGCAAAGCGTTACGCTGCGTTATATGGGGGAGGGGGGTTTGGCTCATTGTTACGTAACGCACACATTCCTCTTTGAAAATAAAAAATAATCAAATTAATAATTAATATCTAAATCAGTTAGTTACCTATAACAAAAGATATGTCAACGTCCGTCATACTACCTTAATAACAGTAAAACAAGAAAATAAATACGGAACATGTTGAGTAAATTTCTGCTTTGCTTTACAGCTTTGTTTTTTGTTGCGAGAGTTGGAAATACTCTTTAATGATGAACTATTTTTCATACTGCACCATTCTTCAAGCTAAATAATCCACTAAACGTAAATTTCATACATGCTATCGATCTGCAATTAAAATTGTAAAAAGGGCTTATATGATAGGAGTTAAGTAAAGAGAACTGAAGTTACAGCATGAATATGACAGAATTGATATTGTTTGGTGGGTTTAAACATACCTGTTGTGTCGTGTTGAAGTGTGTGTCTTGTCTCTTTCGGTAACACATTAAAATCTTCCTGTAACAAAAGTTTAACATTGACTTGTTGTTGACTTGTGCATTTTTTTTGTTTTTTAATTTCTGGAACAACATAATACAGAGTGTCCAGCCTAAAGTGTTCCATTAGCTAACTTTTTTACTTTATGTCTGACAGTAAACTTCTTATGGGGGACCCCCTTTATTATTTATGTAGCATTTAGGTATATATTTCAATTTTCAAAATTTCCCACCATTTTTCCAATATGGCCACAACTTAGATTTTTCTAATGGAAGACCCTGTATTTTAAGTTTTTTCTTAGAAAAAAAAAATGTAGTTATAAACGTTTTTGTTCTTGACATATTTCCTATGAAGCTACTCGTTTAGGAGTTACAGGGTGTTACAATTATTAAGAAAAAAATACTTGCATTGTACACTGCATCATGTAGCTCTTGAACGAGTAAGTTTATGGCAAATTCGAAGAGTTAAGTATTAAAATTGCATTTACATTCTCAAAAGCCATACACCTATTTCCAAATAGGTTCTATTTTCAAATTTGCTGCTATTTCGGAAAATGGTGGCTATTTTCTTAAACAAAAGAATGAATATTTTTGATGTATTTCATGGTCTTTTAATAATGTACATACAATTTTAAGACTTATTTACTCTTCACATTTTCATTTAAATTTACTCGTATAGGAGCTACCGGAGCTACATGATGCAGAAGCAGAATGTACACCGCAAGTCATTTTTCAGAAGTAGTTTCAGGAAAGAAATTCCAAGAATAAAAACGTTAAAATTGCATTTACTTTCTAAAAAAATCATAATATATATGGTCTTCCATATGAAAAATTTAAGTTTCGGCAATATTGGAAAAATGGTGGGAAAGTTTGAAAATTGAAATAAGAATTCTTGGGTCCCCCATAAGAAGTTTACTGTCAGACATAGAATAAAAAAGTTAGGTATTGGAACACTTAGGCTGGACACCCTGTATTAATTAACATTATGTCAGAGAATTTTCTTGTTGATATGAAAGTAGCCTTTCACTGTTGTTCATCAGTGGAGTAGAGAACCTTGTTATTGTTTAAGTTAAGATGTTTTAGCAAGATGACCAAAGCCCTGCAGGGCGGGTCCGTGCATGATTAATGTAGTTTTCTAAACAGCTCAAGGGACTGTGACATTACATGCCTAACTTGGAGAATCATTTAGATCAAAAAGGAATGGAAACACAAGTGTAGTAACATCATTTCAGACATTTCATAAAACTACTTAGTGAAACTGTCAAATACAATATTACCACTGCGTATTTAACATAAAATTTTATTTCTTAATTCTTATTACTTCCAATTTTTCTGCTCGTCGTTATAGTTTATTAGCTTTGTGGATATCACTGTTCCATACAATTTTGATCTAAAAGTAAATAATGAAATGTATAACTAAATTTAAATGCTCAAAAAGGCCAATACAATAGTTATTTGTGTAACTAGTGGTGAAAGTGGCACTTTGCTGCACACGAGAGCAATGTTTACGCACGAGCCGCAGGCGAGTGCGGAATGATCTCGAGTGCAGCAAAGGCCTTTTTCACTCGTGTTACACATTATATTTTTCCTACAGTCACTATAAAGCATATAAATAATTAGTCTTTCAAACACTATGCAACACGTTTTTAGGTTCAGCTGGCAACACAAATGGTGCCCTAGAGAAAGTAGTACCCGCGGTCCATATCACTCCGCTATTTTTCCTCGGCAAGAAATGTGCTCCGCGTTTTGAGAATATAGTTCCGTATGTTTTTGTAATTTGAAGTGGTTTCCGCGCCTAAAAGAAATGCTTAAAAGGTATTTTCTTGTTTATTAAGATCGTAGGAAGGTTTTAAAAACGTTTAAAAGAAAAGTCCAGAAAGTTCAGAAATACCGAAACTATAAACACGAAATGACAGGTTAAATCGTAGTTATAATAGTCAATCAGCTGCTCATAGTATAATTATCTTTAAGTGTTGCCAACCTATTTCCAAGCGTACACGGTGTTCAGTAAACTTTAACCATTCATATTATTTAACACTCTATGTTTTATTTAATGTACATCTCTTTTCCTTGCAACTAACATGTGTTCTTAATCAAATTAAATTATTCTCTATTGCTAACACATGTTGTGTATCAAAAAGTAAATAAAACAGTGCTTGTTCTCTTATCCCAAAAGTGTGTTCATTTTTTTCTCATCTTATAATCTCCATTTAATTTCATTCTCTACAAAACATTCATTGGTCCTAATCGAGCCTGGATTTTGAATTTCAGTCTTTGGATTCAATTTTCAGAACACTTTCAAGCTATCGAAATATCTTTATTTTATCATTCAATCTCTTTATGTTTCTCCCCACTCTCATAGTGTCACAAACTCTATCTAATTCTTAGTAAAGTTTCACTCCATCTGTTTTGTCCAATATGGCTACCAGATCAATTTCACTCTCAAACTTCAACAAATCAACCCTTCTCATACAAAATTCTTTTGAAAAGATTCTCAAATCTGTACAAGAGCTTGAAACACTTTCCCCCTCAATCTTGTCAGTGATACAAATCAGAACTTTAAACAACTTCTCGAACCAGTTAGAAAAGAAACATGAAGCCTATGAAAATTACCTGGAAAGAGCCTTGGAACATATATCAGAAGAATTAGATTTGGATGCAGTAAGTGACACTGAAGACAAACTGCGACTGCTATTCGTCGAAGCCAAGTCTCGGATTGAAGCCCTTCTCCAACAGCAGCCGCAAGATGTTCCAGAAGAAAGTAAAGATTCAACAAGAATTAGTGACATCTCAGCTTCATCATCTGCTCACGTAAGACTCCCAAAACTAGACCTCATCACGTTTGATGGTTCTCCTCTACAGTGGGTAAGTTTCATCAACTTATTTGACACTAGCATCCATCTGAATGAAAGCATTTCAAACGTCACTAAATTTCAATATCTTCTCAGCGTGCTCAAAAATGAACCACTAAATCTCGTAAAAGCTTTCAGTATCACTTCAGCCAATTACTCAATTGCCTATCAGCTCCTCAGAGACAGATACCACAACACCCGAAGGTTAACTACACTTCACCTAAACAAACTGATCGACCTACCGGACATTTCCTCTACCTCAAACAAATGTCTCAGAACGTTCCTCAACTTGTTCTATGAACACACAGAAGCACTTAAAGCTCTTGACTGTGACATTACTTCTAACTCTAACCCTCTGTTGTCCACCATACTCTTACGAAAACTAGACAATGACCTTCTAAAACAACTAGAGGCTTTTAGAATTAATATAAAATGCGAAACACATTCTCTACCAGAAGTAGTCGAAATAGTCAAATTTCTTAATCAAGAGTGTAACCAAATGGAAGACGCTGTGTTACATACCAAGTTTGCTCAAAGTACGAACAACCACAATTCAAATTTTAAACCCAAATCTTTCACATCCAAGCCCTCTTTCATTCAAGCTCAGAAAGTTACAATGGTCTCTACTCCAACTCCATCAAATCAAGACAACTCAAAAAATCCTTTCTCATTTCCCTGCTTTGTCTGCTCATCAACTGGCCACAAGGTTTATGCTTGTCCTAGCTTTCTCTCTCTTTCTTCAAATGAACGTTTTAAAACCGTAAAGGACAACAACAGATGTGTCTCTTGCCTCGGAAAACATGATGTTAAAACATGTAAGTCTAAAGCATCTTGCTTCAAATGCCACAAACGTCATCACACCTTACTTCATTTTGAACATGACAAGACATCTCAAGGTTCTACATCATCACAACCATCAACCACTCATGTTTCGAATGAAAAACCTACCGTATCTCTTTGCTCACAGGAAGCCAGTCCTGCTAATCAAATCCCTAAAACTGTAATTTTAGGCACAACACTGGTTAAAGTTACTGCTCAAAATAACGTTTCTCATGTGTTCAGAGCATTGATTGATAGTGGCAGCATGTGTGATTTTATTAGTGAAAAAGCTGCTCAACTACTGAATGCACCTCGTTTCAAATCCAACTTACAAGTAGTTGGTCTTTCTCAATCTCCAACTCTCACAAAGGGTATTGTGAACCTCACTGTTAACACACTGGCAGGAAAATTAGTTGCATCCAACCATGAAGTGCACATACTTGATAAAATATCTGTCAATCTCCCTAGATCTCAAATATCACAAAGAGTTCTATTGAAAGTAAAACCTTACCCCCTTGCTGATCCCAGCTTCCACTTATCAGGGCCCATTGACATGCTGATCGGAGCTTCTCTCTTCCCTCTTCTTTTAACGAATGAAAACTATTCTCTCGGCCCTAACATGCCTAACATGATGGGAACTCACTTTGGCTTTGTTGTTATGGGGAATGCACCTTGTTCAACCGATTCCCAGCCTGCCAACACTCCATCCATCTCTCTGCTCTCAACGGTTGACAACGAATTGCATAACTCTCTACAGAAATTTTGGAAATTAGAGGAATTATCTGTACCCTCAAAGATATCGGTTGAAGAGCAACAGTGTGAAGATCTGTTTAAAGCTACCCACTCTAGGGACGAAAATGGCCGTTACTTAGTTCAGCTACCATTTAAAGAAAATCATCCACCTTTAGGATCTTCCAAACTCATCGCAGAACGACGTTTTCACTCACTTGAACGACGTTTTACACTCTCTCCTGATTTGTATAAAGCTTACTCTGACAATATAAATGAACACATCTCTCAAGGTCATATGGTAAAACTACCTCATCTAGATATCAACTCTCCTCACTATTTCTTGCCACACCATGCAGTTGTGAAACCATCCAGTACCTCAACTAAACTCCGAATCGTTTATGATGCAAGCTGCAAAACCAGCTCTGGAATTTCCCTCAATGATTCTCTCATGACCGGCCCTAAATTACAGACCAACATTTGTGATATATTGCTACATTTCAGAATACACAATATCGTTTTCACTTGCGATATTCGCCAAATGTATCTTCAAATCTTAATCAAACCTTCCGATCAACTGTTCCAACTCGTCTTGTGGCGTGACAATCCCTCTGAAGATATATCCACATACAAACTCACTCGAGTGACTTTTGGAGTAAATAGCTCACCCTACTTAGCGATTCGTACCCTCCACCAGTTAGCTGAAGACGAAGGTAAAGACTTCCCTGAAGCAGCAAATGTCTTGCGCACTCAGACTTACGTAGACGACATTGTAACTGGAGCAGACACGGTAGATGAAGCAAAGAACCTTCAAAATCAACTCATTCAACTACTCAACCGTGGACACTTTGAACTTCGAAAATGGACTTAAAATTCTCCCGAGCTTCTTCAGTCTCTTCCAGACACTCATAAAGACTCTCCAGTCTTTCTTGAAAATACACCTGATCCCCATTTCTCAATTCTTGGCCTACACTGGTCTCCAGACTCGGACAATTTTTCATTTCATCTCAACCTACCGCCAAAAACACTAACTAAACGTCACGTTCTCAGTCTAGTCGCTAAAATATACGATCCTTGTGGATTTCTTAGCCCATGTACTATGACAGCAAAATGTTTTATTCAACTTCTCTGGACGACCGGTCTACAATGGGATGAACCTCTCACTCCAGAACTTAGTGCAATTTGGAGTAACTTTATCTCAGCGATACCAGCACTTGCAGACATTCAGATCCCTAGAGCATTGAAAATCTCTCCAAATTCTAGTGTTGAACTTCACGGCTTCTCAGACGCCTCTGACCGTGGGTTTTCAGCTGTTGTCTATGTACGATGTTCCCAACCCAACGGAGAAGTGACTACACGTATGGTTTTATCTAAAACTAGAGTCGCCCCTCTCAAGAAGGTGACTCTTCCACGATTAGAACTCTGCGCTGCCCACTTGTTAGCTCAACTCGTAAACTTCTGTTGTTCTTCATTCAAACCCTTAATTTCACTCAACCAATGTTATTTGTGGTGTGATTCTTCAGTAACCTTGACATGGCTTCAAACTCCATCTTACAGGCTGAAAACATTCGTGGCTAACAGAGTCGCCCAAACACAAGAACTTGTCCCCTATCACTGTTGGCGTTACATCCCTAGCAAGGAAAACCCTGCTGATTGTGCTTCAAGAGGTATTCTAGCCATTGAGCTTGTGTCTCACCCCCTTTGGTGGTCAGGGCCTTCTTGGCTTTCTCTTCCCCCTTCAAACTGGCCTGATGTAACTTTTTCACCTACAGATATCTCAACATTAGATGAAGTAAAACACACTCCTCTAACTGTACTTGTGTCAACTACCACTGAATCTACGCTGACCAATCTTCTCATTAAATATTCTTCATGGGAACGACTTCTTAGGATTTTTGCTTACGTCCTTCGTTTCATACACAACTGTAAAGGTTCTGAAAAACGCCAAGGTTTCATCTCAACACAGGAACTGAAAGACACAAAATATCACATTTTTAAACTTGTACAAAAAGAAGTATTCACAGAAGAAATCAACTGCCTCAAACGGAAATCATTTTGCTCCACTCGTTTACAACGTCTTTCACCTTTCATTGACTCATTTGGATTATTGCGTGTTGGAGGACGTCTTTCTCAGACATCACTTCCTGAAGATGCTCGACATCCCATTATTCTGCCAAAAAAGCATCATGTGGTAAATCTCCTCATTGACCACTACCATATCTACAATCTTCATTCAGGCCCTCAGCTTACTCAAGCATTACTTTACAAACATGTTTGGATACTGTCTGCCCGTTGTGCCATACGCTCTCGTATCCATAAATGTGTCAGATGTTTCAAAGTCAAACCTAGAAATGTGTGTCCTCTCATGGCTGATCTCCCTCAGTCTCGTGTAACTCCTGCTCGACCTTTCCTCCACACCGGCATAGATTATGCAGGGCCTTTTACTGTTAAAATCTTCAACCTCAAGGCAGTGAGACACATAAAGTCATACTTTTGTACTTTCATCTGCCTCGTCACGAAAGCTGTACATTTGGAAGTAGTAACAGACCTAACGACTGAATCTTTCATTGCTGCAATGACTCGATTTGTATCTCGCAGAGGACATTCTTCCGACATTTACTCGGATTGTGGGTCCAACTTCATTGGTGCTGACTCTACCCTACGCAAGATTGTTGAAAAATCTCTTTATTGTCAAGACTCCAAACGGAAGATTCAACGATTCTCTTCACTTAAAGGCATCAATTTTCATTTTAATCCACCAGCCGCTCCGCATCAAGGAGGATTGTGGGAATCGTCTGTAAAGAATGTGAAACATCATCTCCGTCGAGTAATGGGAAACTCAGTCTTAACACTCATTGAATTCATCACATTGTTGACCCAAATCGAAGCAATGCTCAATTCCCGATCACTGACACCTCTTTCAAATGATCCTTCGGATCTCGCAGCACTGACTCCCGGACACTTCCTGATTGGTGCACCCCTCACAGCAGTACCTGAACCTAATCTCCTGACAGTTCCTGAAAACCGTCTCAAGCAATGGCAGCTAGTTCAAGCATTTCATCAACGCATATGGCATAGATGGCACCTAGAATACTTAAACAACTTGCAACAACGTACCAAGTGGACTCGGAAATCAAAAAATCTTGAAGTGGGTGACCTTGTTCTGGTACATATGGACTCACCACCTCTCTCGTGGCCTCTCGCTCGAATTACAGCAGTTCATCCAGGGGCTGATGGGGTTGTGCGAGTGATAGACTTAAAAACATCAAGTGGCAACCTCAGAAGATCTGCCCACAAAGTGTTTCCCCTGCCAACTGTGGATTCGTGAACTGTTTTTGTTGAATCCACTGGGGATTCAAGGCCCCCGGTATGTTCAGTAAACTTTAACCATTCATATTATTTAACACTCTATGTTTTATTTAATGTACATCTCTTTTCCTTGCAACTAACATGTGTTCTTAATCAAATTAAATTATTCTCTATTGCTAACACATGTTGTGTATCAAAAAGTAAATAAAACAGTGCTTGTTCTCTTATCCCAAAAGTGTGTTCATTTTTTTCTCATCTTATAATCTCCATTTAATTTCATTCTCTACAAAACATTCATTGTTGCTAAAAATAATATTGTTATGCCAGAGAAATAAAATTTTGATGTAATAAAGTTTTAATAAGTTTCTTAAAAATCAAAAGTTCTAAATTATTTTTAATGTTTATTAGTCTAGTGTTTAAAGTTTAATATTATGTTGTCCGGAGAAAAGCAAATAACAATGGGAGAGGGACAGTTCATTCAAGAACAGGCAATTACACAGGGATACCAAGGAATGAATGGGGAAGGAGAACCAAAAATAGAAAAGGATAATTCATGTACTGAAATAGGAAGTACTAAGAACCCAAAAAAGATAGTTGTCTGCTCTATGTGTAATGGAAAAGGATACTATGAAGAAGTTCAAAAGCCTGAAATATTCATTGATGGTAAGAGGCGAGAAGAAAATTCAGAAAACAATGGAAAATGCTGTCCTCTGCCATCTATATCACAACCCCGTCCCCATTACCAGTTGGAACAGCTGTTTAAAGCAACTGATGGCAAAGCACTCAGTAGAATGTCAGATTCTGTGATTGCATCGAACCGCTCATATGGGTAATCTCCTACTGACTACAAAACAGCTTGACAAACATCCAGAAGATGTTGCAAGGCTGGCTGCCATTAAACTCAACAGGAGCGACTGGCAGACAATGAAAGCAGGTTTGGAGGAATGCCTCCAACTAGCACACTCATATCCAGATGAGTTGGAGCCCCACATGAGCCTCGTGTACCGAGCAATCAGCTGTCTGCTTCATGGCCACCGCCCGCACATCACCATGTTTGCTTGCCAAGCATCACGCGAGTTCTTCGCACACATGCGCTCAACATGCCGGCCGGAATTTGATGAAATCGTTCATTCACTACTGGCCCGAACAGCTGACAGTAATAAAGAAATCAGACTGTACGCCAATGACGCCTTAGATAAAATGGTCACATACATTCAGACAACACAAGCAGTGCGGCCGATTGTGGACAAAGGACCAATACATAACAACCCACTAGTGCGGACAGCAACGGCAAGGCTCTTATCTTGTGTTGTAGCTCTGAAAACTCCAAACACAATTCTGACTCACCCACACTTGAGGGATACGTGCAAACGAATCATTGAAACTGGGGCACTGCTGCTGGCAGACAGCAACATTAATGTCAGATCTGAAGCAAAATTATTGATATCTCGGTTTATGAATGAAGAGGAGTTTGAAAGTGTTTACTATGCAGAAGTTGGTGAAAAACTAAGAAAAAGAGTGCAGAGTACTTTTATTGATATCAAAACAAAGATGCAAGCTTTGGACTGACATTTGTGAACACTGAACTGGAACAATATCAGTCGTGATGGTGGATATTTTACAAATTTATATTCTACAAAACATTCATTGATCCGGCTCGAAGGACCAATGAATGTTTTGTAGAGAATGAAATTAAATGGAGATTATAAGATGAGAAAAAAATGAACACACTTTTGGGATAAGAGAACAAGCACTGTTTTATTTACTTTTTGATACACAACATGTGTTAGCAATAGAGAATAATTTAATTTGATTAAGAACACATGTTAGTTGCAAGGAAAAGAGATGTACATTAAATAAAACATAGAGTGTTAAATAATATGAATGGTTAAAGTTTACTGAACACACGGATTACGTGCATAATGGAACCACGCTGTTTTGTGTTGTTTCGTTGGAATCCTGATGTGCGGCAAAGTATAAACCGTACGGCAAAGTATAAATATGCAGCAATTAGCAGCTTTCTGTACTATAAACAGTACAAGGAAGCCAACTTTGTCGGGTGACTGTAGGAAAAAAACTGTTTTATTCACAAGCGCTTTTGGAAACTAGGTTTCCATCATCAGGCTGTGTTTAAACTGATACAAAAAGTAAATAAAAAGTTATAAAAGTAAATAGTATATTTAAATATATTAGTCCGGTGGCTTAGGGCTTTAATTTACGAGTACCGTTACCTGCTGGATAAAAGCACCAAATTTGGCATGAAGGTACCTTAGGGTATACTAATAAATTTTAGCCTAGGAGCCCTTTTGAAATTTTAAATATTTCGACACACGGCACCAAAATTCAAAATGGCCGACAAATACGACAAAAACTACCTTTAAAACAATCCATTCTCCTGTTAACTCTAAAATATAACTTAAATCCAACCAAGACTCTACAATACAAACCGGAGACATACTAAATTATATGAAAGAAATCTTATGTGTGTCCGTGTGTGAGTGGGTGGGGGTATGTGTGTGAGTATTTATGTAACGAAACCTGTACTGGACGTTGCGCAAAAATGGGCAAACCAATTTACTGCAAATTTGGTGTGGACTTTGTTAATATCATATGTCAACCATGTCAATCATATGTCAACATTTAGATCTGTTTCCTTTTATTTATCTATTTATATAATTTTATTTTATTTATTTTTACAATTTTCATCATTTTTTTTTTAGATCTACAGGGTTAGGCAAAAGTATGGAACCCCCCAGTTAACCTTTTACCGCGTTGCAGTAGGAAAACCAAACTCGGCATATATTTACACAATAAAAATTGCACTTTTTATCAAAGTTACAACTTTGCCTCAGCCCCCAAAACGGGGTATTTTGGGGGCAGCCCCAAATTTTCAAACTTAAAAACCTATAATTTGACCGCTCATTTTAAAGGGCTTATCAAGATAAATTGAATGGTGTAAACCATAGGTCGATATCGCACCCCAAATCAAAATGGCAGCCATTTTAATTTAAGATGAGCAAGCAAAAGATAAAGTCTGGAAGCCTCCAGTTAACTTTATAACGTGTGGCAGGGGGAAAACCAAACTCGGCACATGTTTACAAAATAAAAAAATTCACTTTTTCATTACAGTTAGAACTTGTACCCGGCTCCCAAAATGGGGTATTTGGGTGCGGTCCCAAATTTTCAAACGTAAACACCTATCATGTGACCCCTCATTTTAAAGGGTTTCTCAAGACAAATTAAATGGCGCAAACTAGAAGTCAATATCGCCCCCCTAATACTACTTACTTACTTTCCGTGCCCGGAAATCAGACTTCGCATTTCCAAAAATTAGCTACCGATATGGCTTTGTCATTCGCATGTAAAAGATCATCAAATGTGCAAGACTGGTCTAGGCGTGGGCAGATCAGCAGATGGCCAGGATCCTGGACAGCACCACACGCGCACAAGATGTTTTCTTTGTCTGGTAAGAGACCCCATTACTGCATGTTTGTCCTGCATTTTGGTACCTCGACCCTAATTCGATTTAGGGTCTTCCACACCGTGTAAAGAAGGCCTCCACCAGGAGCCAGTTCCTCCCTGGCTGGCAAGGAAGGGTTAGTCAACGTGGCCTCCCACCTTGCCACCCGATTGATTGAGAGTGATCCATCCAGGACTCGTGTCCGTGATAAAAAGCTCTTTCTGGACCGAAGCTGTCACTCTGCAGCAGGTTGGTGGCCGTGTAATGGGTGACGAGGGTCTGTCTTTTGCTTACTCCTTTCTGCGTCGGCAGCGACATCACGTCGGATTGATGGAGGGGCGATCCCTATGATAGGATAGTTTGTGTACTGGGGTTGGTTTCAAAGACCCAGTTACAATCCGAGCCATGTCATTGACTGCTATGTCAACCTTTTTTGCATGTGACGATGCATTCCATAGTGGTGCAGCGTACTCCGCAGCCGACACACTGAGCGCTAAAGCTGAGGTTCTGAGGACATTAGGGTTAGCACCCCAGCATCTGCTGGTGAGCTTATTGATGATATTATTCCTCGCTGAGACTTTACCTCTTGTCGCAATACAATGCGCCTTAAATGTCAGTGTGCGGTCCAGTATGACACCAAGATATTCCCCCCTAATCAAAATCGCAGTCATTTTGAAATATGCCTTATTAACTTTGTAACAGATTACAGCTGGAACACTAAACTCTACATACCTTTATTAAAAAAGATAATTCACCTTTTTGCCAGTATTAAAATATTAAATGTTTAAAGTTAACTGGGATTATCAAGACTTTATCTTTTGCTTGCTCATCTTAAATAATTAAAATGGCTGCCATTTCGATTTGGAGTGGGATATTGACCTCTGGTTTACACCATTCAACTTCTCTTGATAAACCCTTTAAAATGAGTGGTCACATGATAGGTGTTTAATTTTGAAAATTTGGGGCTGACCCCAAAATAACCCATTCTGGGGGCTGGGGGCTGGGGCAAAGTTGTAACTTTGATGAAAAAGTGCAATTTTTTATTTTGTAAATATATGCTGAGTTTGGTTTTCCTACTGAAACGCGTTAAAAAGTTAACTGGGGGGTTTCCATACTTTTGCCTAACTCTGTAGATCTAAAAAAAAATAGATGAAAATTGTAAAAATAAACTAAATAAAATTATAAAAATAGATAAATAAAAGGAAACAGATCTAAATGTTGACATATGATACTAACAAAGTCCACACCAAATTTGCAGTAAATTGGTTTGACCATTTTTGCGCAATGTCCAGTACAGGTTTCGTTACATAAATACTCACACACATACCCCCACCCACTCACACACAGACACACATAAGTATTCTTTCATATAATTTAGTATGTCTCCGGTTAGTATTGTAGAGTCTTGGTTGGATTTAAGTTATATTTTAGAGTTAACAGGAGAATGGATTGTTTTAAAGGTAGTTTTTGTTGTATTTGTCGGCCATTTTGGATTTTGGTGCCGTGTGTGGAAATATTTAAAATTTCAAAAGGGCTCCTAGGCTAAAATTTATTAGTATACCCTAAGGTACCTTCATACCAAATTTGATGCTTTTATCCGCCATGTAACGGTAATTACACTAAGCCACCGGACTATATGGAGTAAGAAGAAAACTTAAGTTCTAAACTGATCTCTAAGGAATATTGTTAAAGGAATATTGTGTATTTATTTACTACTGTAATCTAATTTAAAATTGAGTGGTATTCTATTTTGTAATACACCGTTTAATTGCTTTGTAACTTATTTGGATATTCCTCTAATAATCTTAGTAAAAAAATAATATATTCATAAGTGTTGTTCCTTACTAACTTTAACCATTCTTTAACTAACATAGATCTTCCATTAATTTAATGTATATTTCTAAAGAAGTAAGTTGGTACTTTCACAATATAATCATGAGTTCCATATTGAGAGGGATGAAATTGCATTGGTGATAAATTCTTTATCACATCCGGCAGAGTAAAACGCCCTAGATTCATTCTTACAGTTATGCAGGCGCTCTTGTAGTTCAATATACCTCTTGGCAATTTATATTCCTTATATGGCAATGCATACCTGCTACCTATGCCTAAAAGAGGTCACTATTTTTTATTACTATGCCAGATATATAAATTCCAGTGTAAGAAATGCAAAGCATATTTCTTTCATAAACATTCCCGCGTTTCCCTTGATTCTGGCGAATCAGGACAAAATTGCGGAACAAAACCATTAGAAAACAAACTTTAAGGCAGAACTCATACTTCTATTTAAATAGGAACCAGTCAAGAGATAGCAACAGCTGTTTTTGCCAAATTAGCTGATGAGTTTGTCATTAACACACAACAATTAATTATCTATTTAATTTATAAAATCACATTTACTTGAATTTATTTTAAATAGTTTTGCGAATAAAATTACTTCAACAAAATAACACCCCATTATTTCAATGTTCCATTTTTGTATGATTAGTCGGATTCAAGTGGTACCCAGGAATGGTTTTGTTTGTTTTATTTTACCAACATTATGTTAGTTGTTGGTGTGTACAATTTAAAGTTTGGGATTTGTTTCAATGTATCTGATATATTAGTAGAGGACTTCTTAGTATAATGGGTGGACCAATGCTTCTACTAGGTGTCGAGATTGCTTCGGCAAAAACCCTCAAATAAACAAACACAACTATTAAGATGCAATCTTTTTTAAAATCATACTTCTTAGCAAAACATTCTTCTTGAATATATATATATATACTAAATTTAAAATATAATCAAATAGAATATAAAATCAATATATGTATGTAAGGCAAAAGATTATTTTAAACCAATACCTATATTATTTGGCAATTTCAAGTCTATTGATATAAATTCTTTTCCCACAAGAAAGGTTTTGGCCTAGAACTGTAAATTTACTCTCAATACATGAATTTTTGTTTGGTTGTTTTCTTATCCAACTAATATTTCTGTAAAAAAGTCTACTAAGAATTAAAATTCAAATATTTTAATCCCAACATAAATAAACAGCCTTTTTGGCCATGCAAAAAGAAGAAAAAATTAAAACCCAGAAGTCGACCAGGCTGTGAACAATTTGTAAACCATTATTCATTAAATGGTAAAAAGTTGTATAAATATTTATCTTACCCTGATGTATGTATTGTTCC